CACTGGTATCGGTTGATATTGGGGATCGGCAAATACGTAAAGCTTTAGTATTGGAATCAGTATCGGAACTGAAAAAGCTGGATCGGTGCATCCCTAGACATAAATAAGGGCCAGAGCAATAGCACTTGTCCGACATAACATACACATACAGTATATATCTTTTTCTAAATTGTTGATGCCATTTAACTGCCATGTTACTCTACGAATTGAATAAATATCACTAAAAAGAGAAACCTGGTATTTCCATGATTTGTGACTATTTAAAAACTGTGGTCTGCTTCAGTCTTAAGGCATTACAATAGCTTCTTTTACCGATAGGGAAGAAAATGAGTACAAAAGCAGTACATTTTCTATACTGCCATTTGACCCTTTGAACCTCTATAAAATAAATGGAAACTTTACTAACTCACTGACAAGTTGAGTGATTAGATGACATATTCATTACTTCTGCTGACAGTGAGAGATTTGTGGCTGCCAGAGAAAGGTGGAGTTACTGCGTTGCCATTAATAAAAATATGTGACCTTTGTATTAAAATATCACATGTTTGGTGGCACTGGGAACACCTTTTGTACTGGTGTGAGTAACTGTACCACACATACTGATTCCAAGAAGTCTCTCTAAACAATATGGCTTCATCGAAATACTGGGAAAAAAATAGACTGTTAATGAAAACAAACCCAGCTAGTGGTAGTGTCACGATAACAAATTCTGAAGTTTGATATATTGCTGAAGTAAATATAGACAATAAACAATAATTGAAACTAATTTATGCCACTGCCACAAAAACCCAACAGCAGATTCAAACCACAAAAAACTATTCTAAATGTACAATATTGTCAAAAATCATGATCTGTAATAAATAAACAGCAAAATGAAACTCTCTAGTACTTAGTTTCCACCTGTAATGAGTCATAGAAGTGATTTGTTCAACCTTTTACACCTCAAACTTTATTGTATAGTGAAAAAATAACAAAAAATCTCTCAGTAGATGTACACACAATAAATACTGACCCCGCCCCCCCAAAAAAAATAATGTTCCAGCTTCCATATATTGAAAGATAAGTCTATGTAGTATTTACGATATAGTGACAGGACTAGCTAGTAGCAGTGTAATCTATATAATACATATATTATATAAAGACAAAAAATGAAAATTCAATATGGAAATGTTAAGGTGGACCAGACCAATCAGCCAAATGCATGCATTCACTAAAAAGTTTAAATAAAACTGACAGATATGAGTAAACAAATACAAAAACAAAGAATTCATTTATAGCTGAAATATAGTTTAAGTCTCCCATTAATACAGGAGACTATGGTGGGCCCCCAATAGTCTACCAGTTGTCTCCCATAGTGTATAGACAACCTGGACTACAATGGCATAACAAAATTACAGTTTGTTGCTCACTGTATTATTAAGAGACTACACTGGTCAAAAGACCTGCATAAACATTAAATACAGGCAGGAAGTGACATTTATACTATATAAAAAAAATACGATTTAATTATTCAAACAAACATGATATGTTGCCCCATACTCTTAACTCAATCTATGGGAAACACTGAAATATAATTTAAAGTTGGAGATAGAAATACACCTTATGAACTTGATCTTTAGTTTCCTACTGTCCCTTCTTATGTGCGATGCAAAGAGATACAATTACTAACCTAACACGCCTCAGTGCTTCTCTCATCTTACATTTTCTGCAATAAATCATATCATTGCATTGTTTACCTTACATTAATTACAAAGGTAGAAAATGCCACAAAGCCACAAACTCCGTCAGAGGAAAGGGAACAAAAAACACTGAAAATGACGACAAATGACTGCAGCAAAACCCGGTGCTGCTCAAATTGCACTGCACTGAACCCGACTGCCAAAACCAACAGATGTAGTAATGCCGTTCCAAACCAAAAAACACTGATGTATTGTCACTGGTCATAAAGTAGATAGGGAGCAGCGCCATTACCGGGTCTAAAAATCATCAACGTGAATGATGAAACAAAACCTATTTCAACTGGCATACAAAGAAGCATTGAAAGCTTCCTCACTAGGGAGCAAGCAACACTTTGTTTCAGTGACGAATCTAGGCTGGTGGAAATATCTGCTAATGTGTTATGAAAAATATAGACTGGTTTATAGGTAGAAGCAGCTCACACGTATTGCCATCAGAGGAGGTGTTAAACTTTTGGATACCGCAAATAGCTGTGGAAATAATATAGAGACAAAGCCTGCCAAGCCTGGATTGACCATTACTGCCTGTGATGTATGTGTCTGTCACACAAGCAGACAATTAAATCAATATTCAAAAAGCGCAGTGAGAATGAGGCCACTTCAGAGCTGAGCTGGGAGCACAGGAGAGAGAAACACACATTTTTGTTCTGTCTTTTTAGTCCTTGTAGATAGTAGTACATATGATTACAATGTTTGATTGCAACGCCAATGAGAAGCTCTAACATCAACCAAACATAAGACAATTGCCCTGAACTTCTGGTTTCATGTTTTTGCAAATATTTTTTATGAAATAGTGTGACCAAAACAATGTAGAGCTTCATCTGTCATTTCATATAGCCTCACATTTAGCCTTGTTGTGCTGTATTCTGCTTTTTCACACACATATTCTGCTTGCTACAGTAGTACTTTTGCTCTCTGAACAGTTGTATTTGTGTGAATTTTGTGAGTGCACTTTGGGTGAGATCACCACGTACCGCCCTCCTATATCTGACCTTTCGATTCACAGGGAAAGAGGTTGGCAATATATCGAAATATCTGCATTATCTTGAATTATGTTTTGTAGATGTGCAAATTTATAAATAACAAATACTTTTTATTTATATGGTGCTTTTCAGGACACTCAAATATGCTTAATATCGAGAATATAGTTTCTTTCACATTTGTCCAATAATTCACCTTCAACAAACATTCAACATTTAAAGATATTTTAGAACTTTTATGTTAGATTTTCATAAAACTATCTTAAGATCTACATTATAACATATTTAGATATTCATGATTGTCAATACTGCCCACACCTACGCCAGACATAGCTTTAGTCGACTGAGAATTTCTTTAGTCGACTGAAGGTCTAGTACAGAGAGTCCATCATTAAACAACATGTATATTTAGCATTAGCAATATCTAAAAGTAGAGTAGGACCAGCCACTTCAGAGCTGAACTGAATGACCAGCAGATAGGAGAACAGAAATCACACACTCTGGCTCTGTCTTTGTGGTAAAAGGTTTCACCAGTGTCCACACTCTAAACTGGCACAATTCATTTCAGTGATACGGCTCTCTGCCTCTTCAAACACATTTCTCCAGATCCGTCACTAAAGCCTCGCGTCAATTAGAAATTACAGCCCCACCGAGTTCAAAGTCTTTTTCGTCACAACCTTGATTAAGTCTGCTTAACCTCACATTTCCACCGACTGCTTAGCATTCTGGGGCTGTTTTATGCAGCTTTGGTCATTACGCCGCACACTTCAAAGGCAAGTCATTTGGAAATGTGTCAATCACGCACATCTCACAGGGACATCAAATAGATCCAGGCAAAAACATGCAAACCCCCCCTTACTGGAGGAGGACAGGGCATGTATGGTCAGTATTCAGACAACAACAAAAGGAACTCACGTAGTATTCACTGTGAGAGTTCACCGTGTAGTACTTAATACTATTCTGTCATAACAAACTTGAACCCATGTATGTTTTGATTTTTTTAAAGGCCTAAGCTTTACACAAAAATGGTGGAAAAAAAAGGGGATAAACATTACTCTAAAATATTGTTCTTGTCATTCCAGTGTACGTTACAATTGTCTTAAACTTTTAATGACTTGCTTGTAGCTATAGAGACAACAAAGAGCAGTCTGTCTATAGTATGAATGAGGATTTACCAACACTTCCTGATTGTGAAAGGGCAGGTCAAGAGCCCGCAGTGACCATTACAGCTTCAGCCTGTGGTGTTAGAGGGCTGCCCCTAATAGATGATCCTCTGTGTGATCTTGCTCCGCACCAGCACTCCCAACTCCCCCAGGCCCTCCCCCTTTGGGCTTTAATCGCAAAGTATTTACCCTGCTTGAGAACTTTTTCCTTTCAATTTGTCTTTTCTTTTGCTTCTCAGCTGGGGGCAAATAAAAGAGAAAAGTTGTCCTTTGAGTGAGACCAGCTGCCGGCGCATGCGTGTCTCTATGCTGAATGATTTACTGATGTTTATCAGGAATGAATAGATCAAAGGCAGTCGCATGACAGGCGATCAATCAAGCATCAAATCAGGAATGGCAATCCCAAAGTGGAACGCAAGCTCAAAATACGCCACTTCTTTCTTTATGGGACTGTTTTTTCACTGGCACTAACACATCAAACACGCTGGCCTGTAGAAATGAGATAAGATGAGCTTTGTTTGGAGAACTTGGATGCTGGCACCTAGTCCAGGATCAGCTTTAAAGCACTGAAACTGAAGTGCAGCATTTATTTCTCTCAGGCAGAATTGGCTTTGAGGCATGGCCGTGTAAATGAAACAATACAACTGCCAGTCAAACATGCCCAAGCAGATAAGTGCAAAACACGTATTTATTGCTTCAAAGATATGGACGTAGCTACAGTTTGGTTAGAGACAGGAGCTGGAGTGCTTTAAATAAAATGAATGCTCTCAAGAGTGTCACTGTCACTGTACTTGTGTGACCCATTTGTGGAAGCTCTTCTGGAAAAACAAAGTGGCCATTATTGGGTCGTGATAAAAAGACAATGCACTGCTCTTTTATTAGTGTAGGAGGAAAAGTGAAAAGCCAAATATCTGTTGCAAATATCCAAAAATCTAAAACTTACGTTAAACCCATTGCTGATTATGATATATTGTAGTAGTGTTGTAGTTACTACGTAGTGAAGAAGGCTATATGAGGTCGTATAGTAGGTCCATTAACCCCAGTGTGCTGCGTAAACTTGTCCCATTACTACTGCGTAGGACTAAAGTTAGCGTGGGTGCGAGTGTGAGAGGGGGGCTTACCTGATGACCGCCGCGGCGCTTGCTGCTTTCTCCTCGGCATGCTGCTGCAGGACTTTCCGCTGGACTTTTCATGCGAAGACCACGATTAGTGGACGGGAAGAGGAGGAAACCTGGACCGGGCGAAATCAAATCCGTGTCGTTTTGTCCACACTTCTTCAAACGTGGTAAAAACAGAAAAGTCGCTAAATTAGATCCCGCGAAGAAGTTCTGATAAGTGCACACTTTACGCACGTTTGTCCATCCTAGTTACGTCGCGTTATTTTAGTGTACAAACGTGTTATTGTCACAAGAAGTGCCTCGTTAACTTCTGTCGTAACTCGTCGCTGGCTGACTGGCAGAAAACACACGGAAAGCCCCGGAGAGTGGGCAGAGATACGGGCTGCTGCCGAACGAGCTCCGCGCCGAAAAGAAGAGCTTCGCCGCGCTTTCTGGACAGTCTCTCATTCCTCTTTTTGCACCAAAGCAAAATAGTATTGAGTCCGAAGTGCGTCGTGTTGTCTCTGTGCTGGTGGAGGTCTCTCTAAACGTGGGAAGAAGAAAAGAATGACACTTGAGTCGCTTTAGGTGGACGTCAATCACTCAAACAGAAAGCCTACAGCGATCAGCGTAATACTCACATCTCCGCTGTTGTCGACACGGACACTTCCTCCCCAAAAACACCCGAGTCTGTCCCGCTATCCCAACAGCTCTCACAGACCCAATCTGTCTATTCTGTTGATTATTGTTGATTTCGGGGGCACCGCAGTGAGGTGTGCGCACATTGGAGATGCACGCTCCGTTCAGACAGCTCTCTCTGATCGACAGACACATGCAGCTGCCTCTCTTCGGCCCGGGCTCTTTACTCCACCCCTCCGCGCGAGCGTCACCCTGACAGTCAGAGCCCACCTGTCAATCTGCTCCTCATCCCGGTCTTTCATTCGCTGCTGTCCCGTCCTGTCCCCGCCACCATCACTAATGCAGCTTGTTTGTGAACGAGAGCGCACCCCCCAAACTGTTTCTGTGCGCTCTGCCCACGAGTGTATCGCTTCATATTTACAATATAAACATTTCAAATAATGCAGGTGTGGATTTAATTTGTTAGTTCAACTCATCCTTCTTTTAAAATTAGCAATTTATCACACTCGTCATAAACGTAAGCATCAGAAACTTGCGCGTAATTCTGTCCTCATTCAAACAAAAACATCCAGACTGCATTTGATTTGTTGGTGATTATAACACAAAGTCTATGGATATAATTTTTCACATTTGACAAATTGGAAATTGTCCAAGCATGTTTTATGTTGTAAACAGTCTACACAAATTACGCGTAGACTACTTTTCTATATCACTTAAATTTGAAGCAAAAGTTTGAGCAGTGACGGGTGTTTCCAAATTTATACATCTGATCAAGAAATGTTATTCCCTAATTATGTAAAATTCTAACTTTATATGTGAGATAAAACTATATTTCCAGTCCACCCATGTGCACTTTATTGAGTGGTGCAAACCGGGTGCGTTCTGGTTCAAACTTCTCAAATACGTGGATATTTCGGGGTGACCTCTTTAGTGGGACAAAGGAGACTGCGGATCGATTCGTTCCACCTTTTTAGAGCGGCTTCTGGGGAAGGGGAGGGGCTCTGAATCCACAAGAGGCGCCCATTAATAGCCTACTCTCCATCCTAACTATTATGCACCGTAAAGTGTTTATAAAGGGCACGGGCTATGAAATGTTAACCTAAACGAGGCGCTTGATGTAGCTCTTTTACCTTTTCATTTTTACACCAAATATACGACAAAAACTGGTCAGATTTTCCTCACAAAAACTATGGGACTACCTTACTATTACTATAATTCTCCCCACAAGGACTGAAGAGGCTGTAAACAGGATACAAACTTTTAGAAACTCAAGCCACACCGGTAAGTAGCCACCTTTCTCTCTCTCTCTTCCCCTCCTAAGCTGCTCTGTCTCCGTCTGTCTATTGGGTATTTCTGGGGCGACGGGCAGTCTTCAAAACGGATTATCTACACGGGGAGCACGTCTGGAGTCGCTTATTATGAGCTGAAAGAAATAAAGTACCGCCCCAACATCTGTCTGTCGCTGTCTGTCACGCAGACCCGCGCGCTGATTGATGGAGAGCACTTACGTCACCGTGTTTTCAGTCCGTGCGCGCCTGAGAGATAGTGCGTCTCGGGAAGATTTCGGTTAATATCTGACATGAATGGAAGAATTACTATGCTTTAAATTGTATATTTAGTTTACTCAAATAGTTTTTGGTATAAAATAACGTATAACACACACTTTTAAACTTAGTAGTGGCACAACAATGCGTGCGTAAAAATAGAGTATATAGACTTTACGGTTTTATTGACAGTTTTATAACAGCCTTTCTGAAGGGACAACATAATATATATATTTTTTACATTTTGGATTTGGATAGTTTTGAAATCATAAATATAGAAAGATCTTTGCTTACTTTTTAAAATAAAGTCCAATAAAAGGTTTTAAGGTAACACTGACTGGATACACTTCTGTCTGACTCATGTGTCTCCAAGACCTATTCAAATACTGCACAGATTTTGTAAATGTATTAAGTTCTAAAACACAAAGTAATCTCAAAGCAAGTTCTGATATATTTTCAGTAGCCTGTTAAAAACAAGAATAAAACGTGCGTGTACAGTATTACTCGCTTTACTTTGAAACTCCAGTATTTTTTGAACCGTGCGCGTTGGCAGCAGTGGTGGTTGTGTGAAGGCTGCGTGTACAGAGAGGCAGCAGCAGAGATGAGAGAGCGGGCTGCCTCAGATGTACCAGCAGGGGGGGACATGTGGTCCAGGAGCAGCGCACTCTTATCTCTGCGCCATCAGGGAATCTCGGAGCAGGAAAATTAAAATCAACAGGATACTTTCTCATTAAACATCATTTATCTACAATTATATTCCTCAATCTTAAATATATTTGATATGAAAACACCAGAACTAAAGGTGACATATGCAGATCTGTGAAAACAAACCTGTCTTTTTGTCCCCTTCTCTTTGGTAAAATCAGTAACTTTTTTTTCTACACTAATTTTCTTTTCTTTCTTTCATTTTCTATTCTTGCTAAAACGTTTTAAAAGTAACAGTATTATGAAAGTATTTTCCAAATTCACATAATAGCCAATAATTGCAGCAACTTTTACACAACCTAGCAATAATATTTATCAACACTAAGAATTAATCATGATTAAAAAAAAAAAAAAAAGGCATCCATGTTATTTTTAGTTTTAGTTAACTCTCTTTTGTCCTTTGCTTTCAGAAACGTTGCTCTACTGCGATGGCCGATAAATCTGATTTTCCACACACTGCCTACAAGGTGAGGAATAAGTTTCGACACCAAAAGTAGCCTATTTTTGTTAAGAAATGTTGCCGTGTATACAGTATATCATGACTTGAACATATGAAAAAATGTAAGCTTGATAATATGTGTTTATGATTATGCTACTGTATGAAAAGTATAAAAGTTTTGTGAACAGTTAGTATTTTTGGTGCTGCAGTGTAATTTGGGGAAAAAAGTTTCAAAAGAACACAGTTTTCTCAATAAAAGCCAAAGCTGCTTTAAATTATTCGCATTTTGTTGTTTGATTGACATAAGATTTGGAACACATTTGCACTTTTTTTTCTTCCTTTGAGATTTTGCTGTAAACAGATTTTCACTGAAGCAACTAAAGTTTTAAGATTTGATTTCTCCCTTTTGGCGAATCGTATCCACCTAAAACAGTGCCGACAGATACCAAGCGTTTAATGTCTACCTTTTAATACTCATACATACTTAATGCTCTGCTGCATATTTTGGCCCGTGGCACAGAGTCAGAGCTGGTTTAGAGCCGTGAACCTCTCATGTCGGAAGGTTCAGGCTCCACACTCTGCTTGGTGCTGTTCAGATCTCATCCTCATTTGGGAAACATTAAATAAACCATGTGTGTTTTTATCATTGTTATTTACTATTAAGTTTGTTAATCTATGCATTTACAGATTTTATATTGAAACACTATATTTACATTTTCAATTTCAGCTACGTGAACCCAAATTCAATTCAATCTTTGTCAAAAACATATAATATCTGGTTCATAGTAAGTATATATAAAAAATAAGAATAAAAATGTAAATATACATTGCTTGTTATAATGTATATAGACAAGAACGCCAATGTCTCCACAACTTTGAGGTGAATCTGACAGAGCTCCTCATAGATTGTTTTGAATCCGAAACAATGATTTGAACCAATGTGTAAAAATAAAGTCTGAATTGTTGCCAACACTTTAAACTTGGATATACATTTCACCATCTAGAATCCAGTCCTGTGAATAAATGTCATTATTATTTTTTCTTTAGTTTCAAATGTGTTAATATTAAGTTTACTTTTAAGGAAACCTGTCATTATGCAAGCCAGACAAACTTATTCCCGCAGTGTTATTCTTTTTCTTTCTCTTAATGTCATTCAAAGCAGGCAGCACCTCCTCTTCATAATCTTAAATAATCTTCAATCATCGATGGGTCTTATCAGATTGTCGACAGTCATTGACAGCCTGAATATAAGAATATATAATAAAAAAATAATAAAGCTATGGCTCTAACTTTGACATGAGCTATATCTCTGCACATCTATCAGATAAGGCTGCATAATTAAAATGCCAAGTGTGGAGCACCCAGAGAAAGAGGTCTTGATATTTTATGAAGATTTGCGTTGCTGTGACTTGTTCTATGTGCTGGCTTTAAACGCGATATTTTGCGGTGAGTTTTGACAATGCAATTAAAGCTTTGTAATCCCCATCTGAGTTTGAAATTTGTCACTCTGGATGGTTTGCGTACAGATGAGACAGGAGCAAGTTTATTAAAGGTTTCCAGTCTCGTATGGATAGTATTTAATAAAGAGCTAAAGCATCGTATAGGAAAAGTGGATGGACTATAAAAAATGTAATCAAGTTTTTTATTCTTCCACGAAACACACATAAAATAAAATTCCAAATTCAATATGACTGTGCAAAAATGTAAACTAATATTAGAAATGGCCAGTATATCTGTATCAGTGGTGTCTATATTGGAAGTATAATGAAAATTTTGCATATTCATCGTAAGTTCATCGTGTTCAAA